TTAGTATTGTTTGTAAGTATTGTCTACAAGCAACAAATTTTCTCGGTCTTTACCTTCAGATCTCTCTTTTTTTTTAAGATTTTATTTATTTATTTGACAGAGAGAGAGACAGCAAGAGAGGAAACACAAGCAGGGGGAGTAGGAGAGGGAGTAGCAGGCTTCCCGCCAAACAGGGAGCCCAATGCGGTGCTCCATCCCAGGACCCTGGGATCATGACCTGAGCCGAAGGCAGACGCTTAACCTACTGAGCCACACAAGCGCCCCTACCTTCAGATCTCTTTATTCCACCTTTCTTTCTGAAGGATAGTTTTGTTGGTTAGAGAATTCTTGACTGACATTTTTTTTCTCTTTCAGCACATTGAATATTTTATTTTATTGCCTTCAGGGCTTCTCTTTTTAAATGACAAGGCAAGTAGCTACTAGTCACATTGTTACTCCCCTGTGTATGATGAATCAATTTTGTCTTGCTGTATTCAAGATTTTCTCCTTGTCTTTCGTTTTCAACAGTTTGATTATGATTTTCTAGATGTGGCTCTCTTTGTGTTTATTTTACTTGGAGTCTGTCAAACTTCTTGTATCTGTACATTTTTTTTTTCATCAAATTCAGGAATTTTTTTAGCTGTTATTCCTTCAAATGTTTTTTTATATGCCCCTTAGTCTCTTTCACTGTTTCCTGAAACTCCCATAAGCCTCTGAAGATCTATTCAGGTATTTCGTTCTTTTTTTCCTGTGATTTTTCAGATTGGCAATTTCTATTCACTCATCTTCAATTTCATTGATTCTTTCTTCTAATACCTCAAATTGACTGTTAAGCCCAAGTTGGAGAGAGGCATGTCTCAAATTATTCTTACCTAAAGTTTGCTCATTTTTCATGAGTAACTGCTTCTCAAAGTTTATGACTCTATCAATTTTTAGAGCTATAAAATGAGGTTTTTTTTTCTGTTATTGCTTTTTGGAAAAAGATTTGCCTAATTCCTCATTCTACTATACTGTAAGTCCCACCTTTATGTTCCTGGATTAGTCTCCTAGGTATGCCATAACAAATTAACATAAACTTTGTGGCTTAAAATCACAGAAATTTATTCTTGCATACTTCTGGAGGCTAGAAATTTTAAATCAAGGTGGCAGCAGGGTTTACTCTCTCTAAAAGCTTGAGAAAAATTGTTACTGGCCTCCTCCAGCTTCTGGTGGCTGCAAGTGCTCCTTAGCTCTGGCATCATGACTCTAATCTCTGCCTCTGTCTTCACATGGACTTCTTATCTATATGTCTCACTCTGTGCCTTTTCCTCTCCTTTTAAGGACAGCAGTCATTAGATTAGGGAACAACCTAAATCCAGGATGATTTCATCTCAAGCTCCTTAACTAATTATATCTCAAAGACTTTATTTCCATGTAAGGTCATATTTTGAGGCTCTGGGTAGTCATAAATTTTGAAGATACATCATTCAACCCACTACAGTTCCCAAGCTGACTTTTGAAGTCAGCATCCAGACAGGGCTAGCTCACTGCATGTATTTGGGTATCTGTGTTAACTTCCTGTCACAAACATGCAATAAATGCTTTGACTGTTCTCTTGTAATTTCTGTGCCTCGATTTTCTCATATTTTAATGAATTGAGAGCTAATAAAAGTACCAATCTGATAGAATTTTTGCAAGGATTAAATGAAATATTTCAATGTTCTAATAGAAGTTTTTGTTACTTAACAATAAAAGCTGTCATGTAAATGTCTGTTCCATGGCATTACACTATTGCTTATTGATGATTTCACATAGGTTAAAACCAAATACAATGCATCAACTAGTTCCCAAAATGTTTAGAGAATATTTTCTTCCAGTATCAGTCAAGATCTTTCTACTATATAGAAAATGAATCATCAACTGTCATGTATACATTAATGGTTACTGATGAGATGCTTGGCTCCAGAACGAGAAAAGCCACTGGAGATGCTCACTTCCTCCCCAAAGTGTCAAAATATAACTCAATACTAACCCAAACTTAAAATATACCAAAGATTCTTCCCATTTTAGCATTTGTTTCTATAGTCTCTCACCTCTTACTTTCAGAGCAGAGGAAATGTGCAATTGTAGAATTGCATTGGGATCAAACATTTTCTTTTAAAGGGCTTCTATCTTTTCTCCTATTTTATCAAGAGCTTGATCTTTGATCGACAAAATTCATATCCTGATTGAAGCCAGATATCTGATACCCCAAAACCACTCACCTCAGTGACTAAAAGTTAGTGAAATCCATCATTTAGAATACTGTACACCAAAGTCTACTCTCCTCGCTTTTTAAAAAGTCAGTTGTGTTGGTCTCATGTAGGGAATCTAGAAATTAAGATACTCTCTTAATTTACTGAGGACACTAAGGACCTTTTTTAGTGAAAGACACTCATTTGCTCTCCTTTACCTTGAGAGCTATGTAGAGCCAATGATCTGTATTCCCTGACCCTATAAGTCTATGAAAATTTTGTCAAGTTCTTAATGAAGAGGCAGGACATGTTCTCTAAATCTCTAGTCTCTGAGGATTTCCACTCCATGTGTCTAGTAGCATTTTAAATAGCTTTATTGAGGAATAATTGACAAATATAATTGTATATATTTAAAGTGTACAATGTGATGATTTGATATACACACACATTGTAGAATGTTTAGCAAGGTCGAGATAATTGGCACATCCACTACCTCACATAGTTAACTCTTTTTTCTTGCGGTAAGAATGCTTAAGATCTACTCTCAACACCTCTTAAGTATGCAATACCACATTATTAACTATAGTCACCATGCTGTACATTAGATCCTCAGCACTTATCCTTCTTATAACTGAGAATTTGAAATAATTCAAATTCATAATTTGTACCATTATGAAAAACAGTATAGAGATTCCTCAAAAAATTAAAAATTGAACTACCATGTAACCTGGCAATCCCACTTCTGGGTATATATCCAAAGGAACTGAAATCAATATCTCAAAGAAGTATCTGCACATCCATGTTCATTGGAGCATCATTCATAATAACCAAGATACGGAAAGAACCTAAATGTCCTTCCATGGATGAGTGGGTAAAGATGATGGGATATATAGAATGGAATATTATCCAGCCACAAAAAAGAAGATCTTGCCATTTGCATCAACATGTATGAATCTGGAAATCATTATGCCAAGTAAAATAAACCAGACAAAGAAACACAAATACTTGTGTGTGGAATCTAAAAAAAACCCCAGTGTCTAGTGGTATCATTAACTCAAGTTTTATCCCAAGCCTGTTTAACACAGCAAGCGTTGAAACCTAATTAGCTTCCAGGTGGCTTTCTTCCATCCTGACACACCTCTGGAGCTAAAAATAGTAGGAACAAGAGGGTATTTTGGTTCATTTTATCTGATCATAAGTATTTTTTTTTTAATTTGGAGCACATAGGACTTATCACCACACAGATACACACGTAAACAATAATACACAAGGCCTGTTTGTTGGAGTATACTTTCTATAGCTTAAGTGGTGTTCTTACATTCTTATTTCCTGTCAAGAAAATCTTTGGGGGCGCCTGGGTGGCTCAGTTGGTTTGACATTTGACTCTTGATCTCAGCTCAGGTCTTGATCTCGGGGTAGTGAGATCAAGCCCTGTGTTGGGCTCCACACTGGGCATGGAGCCTACTTTAAAAAAAAGAAAAGAAAATCTTTTAAGTCAGAAGAGAAAGCATTAATTTCTTCATTTTAAGGAACGACAACTGAATTAAACGCAGTACAGCTAAGCAAAATACTCAAGGTCAAACAGCTAGAAAGTGACAGGATGGAAGTCCAGATTCAGGTCTCTGAATCATCACATAACTTTGAAGTTGTTATTCTAATAAATGCACAGTATGATTCAAATGTTTGTCATTATTCACACTGGTTCCTAAAACATGGTTTTACTTTCTAATCCTAAAGAAATATATACATTTTTTAAAAGATTTTATTTACTTATTTGAGAGAAAGAGAGAGCATGCATGCGTGTGCAAGCAAGAGGAAGGGGCAGAGGGAGAAGCAGACTCCCCAGTGAGTGCGGACCCTGGGATTACGACCTGAGCTTAAGGCAAATGCTTAGCTGATTGAGTCACCCAGGCACCCCTGAAATATATACTTTTTACACTGTTCATGAAGGACCTTTCAGTACCCCTCAACTGAATTTTGGATTTGATTAGGACTGAAAAACAAATTCAAAGAAGAATAAGAGTAACTGGCAGTCAGATTCAAGGAATGAATAGATCTTACTGCTTTTGCCCTAATGGTCTGTAGAAGGCAGGTTGGCTTTCTCGACAGAATGATTGCAGTTTACCCATTATCTCCAAACCGACCATTTTTGGCTATTAGGCATCAGTTTTCAGGGAACTAGATACATTTCTTTCCATCTAGAGTACTATTTTGTTTCCTTATAAACATCAAAGAAAATAAATTCCATTTAGATGATTTCTCATGATTGACACCAATAATTGGGCTCACATGGTTAATAAGATAAAATCATAAAAAGTAGAACTCATTTGGAAAAATAGAGTGTAGAGATGGTGGGGTCATTAGTTGGAAAATAGAAAATCTCTGTTGAAGTGCTCACGGTGTAGGAGGGGAAACTACATTTTATTTCTACAAACACTTATCGAACGGTGCTGTGTGCTGGATCCTGTGCTAACAGTACAAAGATTCATTCCATCACAAATAAGTCCAAGTATTTCTTGTGCACTTAGTGTGTGTTAGAGACCGCTACTGGTGTGGGGAACACAGCAGTTAACAAAACAAAATCCTTGTCCCCATGGTCAGGCCGTGGTATGCACGGCAGCAACTGATAGAAGAGATGTATGTTGTCTTTAGCACAGGCCTAATTGGAAGCTAATGAGTATTAATCAGCTGTCATGCAAACTGCAAACACTGGTAGTCAGAGCTGGATTCAAATCCAAGTCCCAGCACTTCACACAGTGTAGCCCTTGGGCAAATTACTCAGTCTTTTTTTTTTTTTTTCCCCAGAAGATTCTTTTATTAAAACTGGGTGACATCAGTAAAGGGACAGTACAAAAAAAATTTTGGTCCATGAAAAAAACATAATAATTCAGTTAATAAAAAGTTATCTTCAACAGGGACACTGTGTAGGAATGCTGAACTTCCTTCTCATGGTTCCAGCCCCAAGGAGAGAGGCTGTCCAGTGTCTGTGGGGAGAACCTTTTAAGGGAGGGATGGGATAATGGGAAGAAGGGGAAGACAGGGAGAAAATTCTGTCCCTGGTGTGGAAGAGGCAGGGATATGGGGCTGGAGGATGTGCTCACAGGAGCCTGAGGAGGGGGTGGGGAAGCAGGGGCTTTGTCAGTTCTGTGGGTTTAGAGCCCAGGCTGAAAGGAATTCCCCCTCTGTACCCAGCTGTCTCCCACCCTGCTATGTTGAATCTGTGAGCCTGGGACATGCTAACTTGGGGTGATACAACTTGGAAGAAGAATCTGAGGCTCTCCTGGAAAGATGCAAAACCATCTCAGTTCCAAGGGGCCAAGATCACAAGGTCCTGGGGCTACCTGAGGGGTCTGAAGCTTTGAGGGCAGGGGCTGGGGAGTCATAATCCTGTGAGGCAGGGAGAGGGAAGAGTCACAGACCCAACTCAGAGCTATTCGCCAGCCCTAGGCGCTTTCACTCCTCAGTGCCCTAGAAGTCACCAGCGGGTGTCAACTGGGCAGACAAGGGACAGGAAGACAGGGATGGCCCAGGGCTTTTACCCATTTGATTTTAGGCCTGTTTCTCCACAAAGGGATAGGGGAGGCAGGGTGGAGTGAATAAATGAGTCACACGTCCAAGCAACCGCAGGAAGGAACCGCCTCTGCTGGCAATGACGATACCCCAGGTTAGATCCCTGGGGCTCTGACAGAGAAAGGCAAGATTCCCCCACCCAAATGCCCTGTGTTAGGACAGCTCGAGAGCAGGGGATCCTAAAGAGAGCAGCTGCAGGGAGTGTGCTGGGAGGGAGCACTAGCTGACAAACTCCAATACTGATGTGGACCCCCTACAAGGGAGTAAGAGAAGCCCTGAGACAGCAGGCCAATCCAGAGGGCTGCGGACTGACCTGGGGCTCAGTGGGGCCCAAGAACCAGGGTTCCTTTAGTGCTAGAGGGCAGCAAGTAAAGGGAGCGTGTGCGCCAAACCTGTGGAGGGAAGGAAGGAAATTGGATTCGTTATCTGGAGAGCCAAGATCAACTAGCTTATGGAGTGCCCCCAGGCCTGAGTCTCAGAGAAGGGGCTACAGCTCCCAACTCCTGGGTCTCTGAAGGGCAGGATCAGTGTAGCCGGTCCCCTTGAAGACCACCTGGCCTTAGGCCCAATCCATTCAATGCACTGATTACCACTACAGGTTCTCTCTCCAATACTATCTAGAGGTCCTATGTAGACCAGGGGAGGGTAGAGGCACATGGGAACTTTGTGGGGCAAAACTGGGGGACAGGAAGGGATGGGGTGGGAGAAGAGGGTGACAGGTGTCTTGTGAGACAGAAATGAGAGACCCTCTTCATTCTGGTGTTGTCCTTGAACCAACAGCATCCCCTGGAAGGCCCCAGGCAAGACCAAGGCAGGTGCTATGAGGCAGGCAGCACAGGGCCCAAATATGAATCGGTGCAGCCAAATCAGGGCTGTGGGAGAGGCCCTATGTATTTTGGATTCCCAAGCCTTGCCCTAATTCTTGTCATCTCTGCTGCACCTTGGAGTAGACGTACCGGCACTCAGCCTCCTGAGCCCAAGGCTGGAAGTAAAACTCGGCTCGGCGCGCTTCCTCTGGGTTACCCACCACATCGGTCATGGTCTTGAGGTCCCGGCACTGGGACTGTAGCCAATCATTGATGAAACCCTGAGGGTCTCTGGCGAAGCTCAGCATGAACTCCCGCTGGGTCTTCAGCTAACTGATAGTTTCTATTGTCTCATGGATCTTGTTGTCTAGAGTAGCATCTCCTGCTGGCTGGTAGTAGACAGCAGGAAAGAATTCATCTGGGTCTTCAAAGTATCATCCACTTCCACATCGATGTCATAACCAGCGGACTTTTTCTGATCATTTGGGTCAACACTGATGACAGGATTAATGATGATGGGCTCTGGTAGCATAAGCAAGGCATGGAGCCGTTGAGGGATCTCTGTAAACTTCGTATGTTGAGAGTCAAAAATCTGCTGGAGATACTTGTCACAGATGACAAACTCCCGCTCGTGAGGGTCCTGGAGCTTATGTGTCTTAATATATTGCCGCAGTGCTTGGATGATCACTGGACAGGTCCGGGTGTGGATGCCCAGGAGCCGAGCCAGGCGAAGGTCTAGTTTAAACTGGGGAGGCTGGAGGTCCAGCAGCAGGGGGACAGTACACCGTACATGCCCGTCTCCTGGCCGCTTCACCTGGAAGCCCTCCATTTCCTGGGCAGGGGCGGGCCTGTGCCAGTCCTCCAGGCTCCGTCCTTCTACCCGAACCTCCTGGAAGCCATGGTCCCCTCCCCATCCTTGGCATCTGATTTAGCCTAATTGAAAGTGTTAGAAATAAAAATTCGCAGCTTCCGTTTTTGCTTGATGGGACGTTTCAAGGCCTCCTGGATATCTAGCCGTTTCCTCACGAGAGTCTGGTCCAGCTTCCTTTCAAAAGCCAAGAGATCCGTATAGGCCTGGGCTTCTGGTACCAGGTCACGAATCCTTTGAGGGAAGAATTTGGTCAGCCATCTTCTTTTTCTTTGCATTGTGGTTTTGATTTTGGACCGCCTGCTGCTGGACCTGCTGGACCTGCTGAGGTGCAGGTCTCTTGCGGGACTGGTCCATCCCTGACTGGGCCATCCCTGAATGGGCCAGGCCAGGTCAGACTGAAGGGCTCCCCCGATAGCCAGGGGGTCTCATGGAGGGTCCCGGAGGTGTCATTTGGCTGCCTGGCAGCATACCTGGTCTCGGATGGGCCACTCCGGGCATCGGGAGCGGTACAGCCCTTGAACCCGCGCCGGGCCCGTTCGCATGGGAGGCCCCGGAGTCCCGCCCGGACCCAGGGCAGCCCCTCCTGAGGCTCCGGTGCCGCCGCTCAGCCGCAGACTGGAAGCCCGCCCGGGCCTCCATCTCGCATCGAGCCGCTGCCGCAGATGCACAAAGAACCGGAACCGGAAATTACTGTCTTTTTGGGTGTCAGGTACCCTTTTAAAAACGGCACCTACAAATATTGTAACAAAGTTGTACAGTGGTAGATCGTGACTACACTTACGGTGGTGAGCACTGAGTAATGCACAGAATTGGCAAATCACTATGGGGCGTCTGGGTGGCTCATTCGGTTAAGCGTCCTGCCTTCAGCTCAGGTCCTGGGATCCAGCCCCATGTCATCTGGCTCCCTGCAGCCCCATGTCATCTGGCTCCCTGCACATCGGGGAGCCTGCTTCTCCCTCTGCCCTACCCATCCCCCCTCCCCCGCTCATGCTCTCTCTCTCTCACTCTCTCAAATAAACAGAAAAGAAAGGAAAGAAAGAAAGAAAGAAAGAAAGAAAGAAAGAAAGAAAGAAGAAAGAAAGAAAGAAAGAAAGAAAAGAAAGAAAAGAAAGAAAGAAGAAAGAAAAGAAAGAAAGAAAGAAAAAGAAAGAAAGAAAGAAAGAAAGAAAGAAAGAAAGAAAGAAAGAAAGAAAGAATTGGCAAATCACTATGTTGTAGACCAGAAACTAATATAACATTGCATGGCAACTATACTTCAATAAAAAAATAGACAATAAATAAATAAAATGGTATCTACATCATATACAATGAAACATTTCACACAAAGCACATCACATAAGGGCCTGAACATAGTAAGTCTCAATATGTGTTTGTTTCCTTTCTCCACCATTTCCTTTGTGAGGACTAAGTAAGGATGATATGCCCTTTGGGAGATGGCTGTCTGCAGAGCCTGGAGGCGTTCCACTTTCTGGATAAACAGACTTACGCCTGGCGAACTGTACTGATTAAAAGTTCCAATAGAGGAAGAACAAACTAATTTGGAAGGGATAATCAAGACTCTTCATAGTCCAAACGGGATGATTTCCCGGCCGTGCACAGAACCAATAAACCTCCACCCCAAAGACAAAAGTAATTTTCTGAACCTGCACGAGGTTCCTCCAGAGACGGAGGTTTTGCAGAGCACGGTGGTCATAGCTGGGCAGTGCAGCCGGAACCCCAAACCTGCGCCATCAAAGGGGGGAATCACAGAATTCTTTGCAAAAGAAACATGATTTTACTTAAACTCTTATCCATAGTACTTAAGATCACTGCAGGTGATTTGACCCAGGCAATGGCTCCCTCCTGCCATCCCATCATCTGAACTTTAGGACCTCATTTTCTGCTGCTTTTGCTCATTCCTCTTCTGGGTCTCATGTTCTCCTCTTTTGTCTCCATATTGCACTCGGTGTTTTCTCCCACTTTCCATTCTTTTGTCTGCTGTAATCTATATCTTTTCTTTCCTTGTGAATATCATACTCAGTGTCCCCTTTCCTGTGAAAATGGTGCTGTTGTCACCAACCAGAACAATGGGCTCCCTGAATGATTTTCCCAAATGGGGTCATATTCACCTCCCTGTTCCTCCTGGTCTTCTTTGTCGCTAGTGTCTTAGGTTACAAGATGGCTCCCCAAGGCTGTGAGTAGAGCCTGGGTTCCAGAGCTGAGTTAGATTTCTTTCTTTGTGAGAAACTAGGTAAGCTTGTCTGAGGTTTAAATTCTAATTGCCAACTTGAGTCTCAGGTGATGGGCCAGTCGGCATGTGTTCATGTTAGAAATACTGGCTGGCACACAACCACTAACAGAATCTGTCCAGAACACAATCCCCACTAGGGCGTAGATCTCGTACAACGAGTAGGACAGAACACCCAGCTTCACCCCGGCCCCCCAGTTGGAGTAAGGGAGGGCACTTTACTCTTTGGCAGCCAGTTGGTACATGGGCCACCTTACTCCAAAAGGAGAGCTGACCAATAATAGTCTTTCTCAAAGGAATTTGAATGAGGAAAAGGAAAATCAGGCACAAGAGAGATAAAAGTGAAAGGTGCTGGGAAAATATAAATAAAAACAAAACCTTTGCCCAATGCAGAAGACCTCTTTACAAAGACAGTAGAAAAAGAAAGTACCTTTGTTATTGAATAAGCCTTAAGCCAGAATGTGAGGAGAACCACAGGCAACCCGCTCAGAGATTGCAGAGACAGAAAGAAATTGTACCCGTGTCTGCAGCTAAGCAGATACAACCTGTTACATACATGTTCTCAAGATAAACAATAACTAGTCCTCAAGTATGACAACTTGCCAGCACCATTTGTCATCCAGAGTTTATCCGAACCGTACTGGTATTGGGGTAATTGTCTTTTTCCAAAGGAAAAACAAGCTTCTCACATCGTCATGGCGGGAGGGAGATTGGAAACCTGGAGCAAGGAACCCACGGAAGTTAGGCTTCTAACCTGCCACAGAAACTAGGAGATGGAGGCCCTCGCTCCTCCAATGTTCACATTCCAAAGAGATGGCTTCCTGGTCCTTGAGAAAGATATTCCTAGTCCTGAAACTGACACAAGCCCTATCTCATCTTCAAAAGGATTTACATACATTTCAGAGAAGATTAAGTACTTATAATTAGAAGTTTTCTGAAGTAAGTGCCCAAAGAAAAGTAAGGGAGGGAAATCTCTTTCCTAATTTCAATGGGACAATGAAGACTTCTAATTTGTGTGTCTTTACAACGATCCTGAGGTAGAGAGAGGCTGAGAGGGTGTGGCACTCATGATGGAACTGTGTGAGCTGAAGTGACATGGTAATAGGACAAAAGAGTCAGCACAGGCTATAAGGTAGAGACATCTATCCCAATATTCATATTTATACCGAAATCTAGAATTGAGAGTTAGGAGAAATGATAGAGAAACAGGCATGTCCATGTAGCAACTAGCTGAGCAGATCCACCATTTTCCCCTGTTACAACTACCTTCCGTCCAGACGCATTCATTTAAGCCCTGGCTGTCCAGATTTCGCCACATTCCTCTGTATGTACGTGTGATTACAACCACACGCCCTCCTCCACACGCACACCTCTGAAGTGGCACGAGGAGTCTTTGTTTCTTGTTTTAAAAAAACGATTGCTTAAAACATGATGGAAAGACCTCTCCCTGAGAGGTTGTTAGGGACCCTTGTATTGTGAACACCCTGTCACCCAGATAAAATTGCCTCCTCTGGAGGAGCTTTGACATCTGGAACATCGGTAGGTCATTCTATGAAGTCAGAGTCCCTCAGACAACTCGAATAAGTTGTGGACATGCAACTTAATGAAGCGGATGAAGGATCATGACGACAGGAGGCGATCTTGGTTTCCTTAAATATCACAGCTCCTCTATGGTAAGAATTAGCCTCTGTGCAAGATAATCACAGAGCAAGATAGTCATCTGTTTGTTTCTTTGCTCATTCATTCAACCAACCAACAGTTATGGGGCCAGGTGAGGTTCTGTGAACTGGGGGCCCAACCATGGACAGGCCAGACCCAGTCCCCTGCTGTCGGGCGGGTACGCCTTGGCCGGGGAGGCAGACCAGAAGCCCAGAAACATATAAAGATATCATACATCAGGGCACAGTGGGAGGGGGGAATAAAGCACAGAATGGTGGGTGCTGGTGTAGATAGGTGGTCAGAGGGACCACATATATTTTGTGTTTATTATCACTCTGCTGTGGGTTAGGCCCACAGGATGAACTAAAGCATGACAAATCACATTTCCCAAGGGTCAGTGAAAAAGAAAGCAGATGGCTGGAGCTGGATGCTCGAAAGGAATAAATACAAAAACTCCCTCTCTGCGCCATGGAGGTGGGCCAGCTCCTGGGCCTCCACTCAGCTTCCCTCAGAGAGCGCGTGAAGAAGCCAAGTGAGGGATTAATCATTGTCACTGCTATTCAGTTAAGGAGCCCATTGCCAAAGGAGCCCTGACACATCTTCCAACAGCTATGCAGGCATAAAGCCCCGGGGAGGGCAGGGGGAGGACACGGGCCTAGTTACCCCGAGACCCCGTGTTATCCCAGAGCACCCCAGGAATTTACTTTTACTGCAGCGGGAAGCGTCTGGCCCACCTGACATCTCAGGGTCATAGTAGTGGCCGACATAAAGGGAGTTAACAAACGCCCTGCTTGGTATGAACTTGCACAGGGTTATGACCCGACCCTCTGCTTGCGCACGTCCCACACTACGTCCCAGACTGCCTTGCAGTGCAGCTGAGTGTGCGTGCCTTCTCTCCCAGACCGTCCGCAGCTCCCGGGGACAGGGACCTGGTCTGTTCCTCAGCCAACTGTCCAGCACGCCGTTGCGCTTGGCCTGTGGAGGGAACTTCACGCAGCTGTTGAACAAGTGAGACCAGATCGAGTCAAGGGCTTTGCGGGCGTACCCACTCCTCTTCTCAGTAAGCTACTCTTTGAAGCAAATGAAATGTAAGGACTGATGATACTATTTCCGTTATCAACTGCTTTGTATTCTGTGTGGGGAGAGTGAACTGCTTGGAGAAAATAAATGGGCTAGAGCTGGGAGGTTTTTAAATGACCCTTGAAGGGGAAGGTTTGGAGTCCGCGGAATGAGAAGCTGGATAAAGCAATAGCTCCCCTCGGTGGCCTTCCAGGGTCCTAACCTTGAGGACCACCGTCTCGGGCTGCGTTGTCTCTGGTGGGCTCCTGGCCGAGGACACTTGGCGACGCGACACGGCATGTTCATGCTCAGACATGCTTCTGGGAAAGACACGATGCCAGGCGCCTTGTCCCCAGCCCAGGGGCTTCTCCACTCCGCCGCCTTGCCCCGACGACTCCACAAAAAGACCCTATGTGCTGAGGACACCTGCCCTTTAAGCACAATCACGTTTTCTCTTGAATGTATGAATGCATAGAGCCACAGTCTGTATTGCTCACACGAAAACAAACTCACAGAATCACTGGAACTTTGCCAAAGCACTCGAGTGAAGTGATGGACGTGAAATTTGGGGGGTGCTCAGCCCCCCAAAAGAGTACGGTCAAATGCAAACTTTACCCCCCCAAACAAATACATAAATCTACGTTGAACTATGATCAACAGGCAGCCCTCCATGCCATCCATCTGGGGAGAGGTG